CCAGTTCGGGTGTCTCCAGTTCTACCATCTCCAATTCGGGTGAATCATGTGGCCATCACTAATAAGGCAACTGAAAACCACCAAACACTTGAATAAGTCACCCGCCTCTCAAATTCGATTCTAGCCCATAAGCTGGAAAAAGCACGTCAAAAATGTGTAAAGGAGTAGGGATAGAAGAACATTCACTTTTCACACACTAAATAACCAGGGAGACAAGGGACCATCATGAGATACAGGAATACATGAAGAGGCAGAAATACAGTGGATTGCGAAATCAGCTTGACAATCTGAACTCAGCCCACATTTGTTTTGAAGACTATGCCAAGCTAGCTAGTACAAATATAGCTAGATTATATTACCATGGCGCTACTTACTTACAATGAGCGAAATCGCTTTACATACAGCCCTTGTTTTAGTGATACTGCGTTGCTCTAGAAGATTCGATGCAAATGAACCAAACACACAGGCAGTAATCAAGCAGCAACCTGTCAACTTTCCATCATGACTCGACAGAAAGCTGATTGGCATGGTCTATTGTATGAGTGTATCAGTGCATCATAGCACAAATCTCATGCTACCGCTTGTGGTACTAGCTAGCCTGTAAGCCCCACCTTTCTAATGTGAGAGTTCGAGTAAGGCTGACACATGGTGGCATTAGGTTTATTTCGGGGCAATGATCCTGAGTCCGTCAAGTGTCCAGGAAGTCTCCCAAGACCAGCGTCTCGATGTGTGGGATGAAACCCTATACGCTCCCACTCCAGGATACTTTGGTCAAACACCCACGCTGTCTATATCCAGTACTCTTCCAAGCCAGATACCTGAAGAACAATTGAAAACATCCATGTTCGCCTGCAGTGGGTCCCTGGCCACTGCAATGACCCGGGAAATGATATAGCAGATCGCCTAGCCAAAGAGGCAGCGGGCCCACAACCCTCACACGCCTTCCGGAACCTAGTCACACTGGAACAGGCTTCATCCGCGACCGAATCTTATCGGAATGGGAAAATAAATGGAAAACATCAAGCAAGGGCAGGCATCTCAAAAGGCTTGACGTCATGCTGCCCTCGATCCATACTAGACGGCTGTACGACACCCTGCCACGAAATCGGACATACCTACTGTCGCAACTGCGGACTGGTCACTTGTGGCTAGCCTCGCACGGAAAATTACAACGGCTCTGCGAAGAGGATAAATGTGAATGCGGTGCAAAGGAGACAGTGACCCACGTCTTGATTGACTGTCCGAGACTGGCGGCATTTCGGCTAAAATTACGTGCAGACACAGGGAATGCATTTAATAACATATCACTAATGCTAGGAGGAAGGGACGGAACTGGACAGAAGAAGGTAAGCAGCTCTGCTCAGCACAGTACTGTCAACGCAGTGCTAGATTTTGCAGAAGCATCCCTAAGATTTCAAAGCCGCGCGGCGGGAAGACCGCAAAACTGGGGCACGGCACAAAGAGGACAGTAGAGGGCTTAAGACGAGGCTCTAAATTCGTCTGCATGAAGTGGATAAATGTATGTTAAATAAGGATAGCTCACCAACCCCATTGGCCAGCAGTACCCTTACGTAATGCTACTGAGCAAGCCAAGCATCAGATGTCACTTAGAATCGTTGAGGAACGACTGAACGTTTTTGCACTCATTTGATAGTTCTCTCGCTCCATTTGAGAGAAAAGGGGTCTGGGGAGGAGTGGCACTATATACAACTGGCAGGCGATTCCCGCTGCCCTAGCCCTATGCCTTAGATTCTATCAAGCAGCCATATTCCGGTTCCTAACAACAGGGAATCAATGAGAAGCTTTGAGAGCAAGTTTCAAGGAGTGACCTGAAACGCCTATGCGAGGTCTCCAAGCTGTTCAACAAGCTCGCCACCCATTCTATATAGGTCTGTTGTTATAAAGGATGGGGGTAGATTATCCAAAGAAGGCTCTTGGAGGAGGATTAATTTAATTCACTTATGCAAGGGGTGCTGGACTGATGGGAGTATTTCTGCGAAGTGCTGGTTGTTTTTAGCGGTACAAAGTCTTGGCGCTCTGCAGGTCCGGACCTGCAGAGCGCCAAGACTCGGAACATCAAGGTCAAGATTTCACCCAAATATTTCGGAACCAAGATTCTCTGGCATAGCTTTGGCCCTCACTAGAAAGGGTAACCACTTGCTCCTATCCTCCGATCTTCTCACCTTATACGGTACAGGAGTACGGAGTAGTGGTGGTGGAATTCATACCCTGATCCCTCGCCCTTGGCGATAAGCAGGCTGCGTGTCGAGGCGACCCAGCTTCTCTTTTTGTCACGTGTCCCACTGCGGTTGCTATCATGCGCGAAAGTGGTGGGACTCTCCCGCCCACCTAGAGATTCTGCTCCTGCATCGCGTGCCATACAAAGGCAAGGCTACTACCTAACACATCAAGAGCTTTCAACGCTGTTGGCTCTATAATGAATCATGACAAACACTGCCATTGCATAGGCAGCTAGCCTCCTGGCTTGCTTTATGCAAAACCATTTGCCCTTTCATTCAGTTGGGGTTGACCAATTTCTTTGTTTGATTGAGGTAGCAGGGGTGGCGTGAGCTGTGCCATCACAAGTTTGTGCTTGGTCCAAAACAGAGAAAGTGCAATAATAACTCAAGACAAACAAAGCCTGCAGAGGTCTTGAGGTGTGAACAAAAAGAGAGGCAAAAGACTGGCATAGTGCTCAATTCCAACGGATGTATGATACGCAGCATCTCAGACATCATCTCACTTGTGGAGCAGTTCATAGTCTTGCATTGACTTTAGTTCGGATTTTTTGCCTACAAAGCATGTAAAGCCAGAATTGAAAGGAGATCAAAGCTCTTCATGATAACAAACAACACCAGAAAGGCATATCTGGGCTGCTTATAAGAACTCCAACTTCTGGCCTACTGTCACGGCCCGTAGACGCCGTAGATGCCGCACTCCTGATTAGGGCTGGAGATTAGGGCTAGAGGCCGGGAGTCGCCTGACGAGGTGTTTACATCTCTCTCAACACCAAAGCACGCCTTCTTTTCTTTCTTCTCTTTCCCAGCTTGTTATTCTCGAATAGATAGCACCAATATGATATTCCTTATCTCATATTGACTGGCCGTCACACCTCCTGTCCAATCTCGAAACAGTTTACTTTCCTTCCTCTGACAGGTTTATCCGTGGCTTACTGTTTTCTCACAGAAATATTACTTGCTATTAGAAGCAGGATGGACTCCCTTGATCCTGCAGTTGTAAGTATATCCTTATCGCCTCATGAATTTTGCTAATTCCTTCTCAGAACAGTGAACATCAGGCCATGCCGTCCGCTAAGGTGATCAGTTCGTCAGATCCAAGCTCAACAGGCACACCAAACTTGTCGACCAGCTCCTTGGAGGCCCTGCAAAGTGTCGAGCAGTGCAAGTTTATGCGTTTGGTTGACAGGCTCCGTCGTGCAGGATTGAGTTCAGTCTTGCAATTACCACAGATTGTTGTTTGTGGTGACCAGTCCTCTGGCAAGAGCTCGGTCCTCGAAGCGATCACAGAGATTCTGTTTCCACGCAAGGAAAACTTGTGCACCCGCTTTGCAACCCAGATTATTATGAGGCGAGATGTGGAGTCAGTGATATCTTGCAAAATCAACCCAGACCGCAGCCGGACTAAGGATGAGCAGCTGAAACTTGAGAGTTTTTCAAGGTCAATCAACGACTTTGGGGAGCTCCCTTCCCTCATGGATGAGGCTACCGAGGCAATGGGGCTGAATGAGCACAAAGCATTCACAAGAGATGTTTTGAGTATTGAAATTTGTGGACCAGACCAACCACAGCTGTAAGTTCCGCCATATACTGATTAGTCTTTCCTCAACCTGAACTCTAGAGCAGCACATTCGTCGATCTTCCTGGCCTCATCCATTCAGCCAATAAGTCACAGTCAGAGGAGGATGTACAACTGATTAGTTCTCTTGTTGAGGATTATATCTCCGAAGACCGCACCATTATCCTCGCAATCATCTCAGCCAAGAATGACTACGCCAATCAAGTGATTCTGAAGAACTGTCGAAAATTCGATCCGAAGGGTGCACGTACGTTTGGTGTTATCACAAAGCCTGACTACCTACATCCCAGCTCTGACAATGAGCGTGTTTGGCTTGACCTGGCCCAAAATCGAGATATCTATTTCGAACTCGGATGGCATTTGTTGAAGAATCATGAAGATGGTGAGCACCATCTGTCTTTCATGGAGCGAAACTTGAAAGAGCGAGCATTCTTTAACAATGGAAGCTACCGGGCTCTTCCACAACGGATAAAAGGCATTGATTCCCTCCGTGGGCGTCTTAGCCAACTTCTGTTCCATCACTTAAAGCGTGAGCTCCCAATCCTCAAAGGGGAGCTTGACAGTATGGCCAGGACTGCTCAAATGCAGCTTCAGTTAATTGGAAAGAGCCGTGCGACATTAACTGATCAACGAGTATACCTGGCAGAACTTTTCAGCTCTGCCTACGACATAGTCCTCACGAGTATGAACGGGAATTACGAAGGGGAGTTTTTTGGCAGAATTGATATTACCGCGCCCATTGATGGGGAAACAAACCTTTGCCGACTCAGAGCAGTGGTTCAACATCTGAACATCCGGTTTGCGGAACGCATGCACCAACATGGGCATAAATTTCATATCCATGAGAGCGATGAGAATGATACAATGACGCCAGCTCTGACGACACTGACGCCGAGGAACACAGCGCCACAATTCCAGAAGAGCAATCTCAACCCGAGGCATTTGACCCGCAGCAGTCGGGGCCTGTTAAGCTGACCCGGAAGCAAGCCAACAAACGAGTCGTTCAGCTGCTGCAACGGAGTCGTGGCCGTGAGATTCCCGGCATATTCAACCCGATGCTAATAAGCCATTTGTTTTGGGAACAATCTGAGAGATGGGATACCATTGCACGTGAGCACATCAACAGAGTTGCAGCAACATGCAGAGCCTTCCTGCACCTTATCCTGGACTACACTGCCGCCCCAGAGATCAAACCCCGACTCCTAAACTTAACTGTCCTGCCTGCTTTGGAGAATGCCCTCAACGCAGCTTTCAATGAGCTCAGGAACATTGAAAAGGACAAGCAACGGCATCCAATCACGTACAACCACTATTTCACAGATACACTGCAGAAGGTCCAAAGGAAACAGTTGTTAAAAGGTGTAAAGGAAGCCAGTGGAGAGGCGACTGTGGTAGTTGACCAGAAGACATGGACTAGGAGCCCGAAATACGAGAAAAAGAGCTACATTGACCCTGACACTTTTCATGGAAAGCTCCCAAACTCAATTGAGAGAGACATGGATAAAGTATCTGCTGAGGCGGCCCTTGATGCACATGCCGCGTATTATAAGGTATGTATCTAGTACCCGGACCTGAACTTGGTTTCCGCCATATCACTGACGGATTGTGCAGGCAGAGAAAAAGTATTCTATCGACGTGGTCACAAAGCAGGTTATTGAGCGCCATCTTGTTGCCCCTCTCGCTGAAATTTTCTCTCCCATAACTCTGGCTCGATACACCGACAGAGACATCTCTTTCCTTGCTTCAGAATCCCCCGAGGTGGTGCAGATGCGCGAGCATTTGGAAAGCAAATGCAAGATGCTGAAAGAAGGTCAAGAGGCATTTCGTGCAGTGCAGGGTCAAAGCATATGCTAGATGCTCAAGAAAGATGAAATCAGTCTCCTTCAAGATACTCTCGGACCGGGTTGCGCATATCTCATATCTATAATAGGGGTAGGTCCCAATGGGACTTATTGCGGCTCTAGGCTGGATGTTTGTGGTCCTTCAGTTGGCATGTGTTGGGTTTCTCTCCGCTTTTGGCTGGGTAATGGCTAGGCATATTTTGTGTCAAGAATAGATGGGGCAATATGTGCTTGAGAGTCTTCTTTATCTTTATTAGAGAGAATAGACATGTGGTTAATACATTTAGAGCCTCATCAAGGCCGGTGGTGGCCTGGTGCCGTCGATTTCAATCATGCGGCCCTCATGGCGCGCGGCTTTGAAACCTCCATGATGCCAGTACCGCGTTGAGTATGCTACTTGATTCACCATTTGACTTACTCTTCTTACCTTTTTGTCCTTCTCCTCCGAGCATACTTGAGATCGACCACTTCTTCCTAGAGAGAAGGCGCGAGAACAGGTGTTCCGTGTTAGGCCACATTATCTCTTTGGCCAGGCGGTCTGCTGTGTTGTTCCTGGGATCATCACAGTGTCCAGGGATCCCCACAGGGGTTACTTCTCCCAAGGTGAAGGGTGACTGGGTCTGTATTTTAGTCACGCGCTGCATAGCTGCCACAAAGGGCGGCTAGGTCAGTCTACCGGTATGAATAAATCAATCAATCAACCCCGAACTGGGGACGCCCGAACTGGAGACGGTTCTTGGTTCAAAGAATATCAAACAGCAGCAGAGAAGTTTATTAAAAATAGCTTAACACTTGCAGTACATGTTTACACTCTTGGCCGCCTGAGGTGTCAAGCAGGGGATTATAGAAAGGAGTGTCGAGAATCTATCATGATTACTACAGTGTGATATACAAAATAATTTTGCCAGGCTATGCTGCTATTGTGATGCTAGCTCCATCTGCGCGCGGCCCCTCACAACAGTTCCATGGGCCTTCTCTGCATGGTTTAGAAGAGCAGATTTGGCCGGAAGCACCTCTCTCTCACAAACATTGCACTCAACCCCCATGGCCAGCCACGGAGGGTTGATATGTCTTCTTAGAAAATGCCTTGTAAGTGAAGCAGGAGTTGCATATACCTTGATCCAGTCCTTCAGCAAGCAATTAGGATTCCCAACACAGAGAAAGCAGACCCGAGGCCGCTGTTCTTTTTGTGAGTCAATTCATGGGTCAATCCGCACAGAGTCCATTGCTTTGCACAAAAGAGCCTCGGTGTCGTCCTCTGTCGAGCGCCGCTGCCGCTTGGCGGGCGGGGAGATAACATCATCATCATCAGGAGGCACAGGGCGTCCGCGAGACTGGGTGGACCGGCGAGACAGTCGTCCTTCTTCCACACCACAGAATGCAACTCCCGCGTTGATTGTGTTGATTCGCCTCCGGTATTCTGCTTCAAGGCTGGTATCCAGCATGGTCAGCATCTGATCCACAAACACCAGGTGCTCAGGAGGCATGAAGCCTTCATACTCAAAAGTGTCCACAACTTTGGTATCCACCAGCTTCCCAGACAGTTGTCATTCAAGGTCAATCACAGGCTGCTCATTCTTGTAACACTCAAGATTCTCACAGATCCATTGGTTCCACTGTCACTGCTTCTTATTACAGAGCTCACAGACAGCCTTGTTGTGCTCTGACTTTGCTTCCACTGTCCAATTGCAGAAAACTTCCAGCTTCTCCAGCACCTTGAGATAAGACTCAGCAAGCACTTTGTCATCAAGATGCCCAAACACAGTCTTGCACACTTGGTTAGCACATTCAAGCTCAACTTTGCAATCCTCCAACTTCCACTTGTACTTCTTAACTGTATCTTGCCAGGCAAGAACAACTGGAAGGTAATTGAGGGACCACAATTCTTCAGAAGAGAGCTTATACAGTCAGTTAGGGTTGATTGACACACTCATCAAGCAGGCAAATCACACCAATGCTGTTTGAGAGCCTGTTTTCCACACAATGCCCTGGATGTCAACATCAACATCCACCTGGTAATGCTTGACAAAGATGCAGATATCCACATGCTGGAGCATGACATTCTGGAGAGCTTCTGAAACCTCCTCTGCTCACTGTTAGCCTTTTGATGTGACTGAAACACAAAGTGATTGGAGGGTACTCACTGCTGTTGTTAAAAGTCTTAGCTCCAGTGTACTGGAGATTGTACAGGTGGACGACCACCTCAAAGCCTGTGATCTCACCAGCCCTATGCATGCAGGACCTTACCATGGCTGCAGTCAACATCAACTCCAAGCAAATTTGATATCCAGTGGGTGTTGGCTCTGTCTGGCAAAACACAAACTTATCCAGCAATTCATTCTTCAGTAGCAGCCACTGCTCTCCCTTTCCCTCCAGCATGTTGACACTGTAGAGTTTTTCTGCCAAATCCAACACCAGCCCAGTGGTCAAAATCAACTTGAAGCCTTTGATGTGAAAGAGCATAGTCAGCAAGGTGACATGTGGACTGAGAACCAGAGTTGAATCAAAGATGATTTCAGGAATTTTAAACTCATTCCTATTAGTTCTGTCAGTCAACCAGGCAGCACCGCGACAACCAGGAACACATATGGTGCCTTATCTCCCAGGAATCTTTTTGTAAATTCTGGCTTTAAGTATATGAACAACCAGGGGCATCCACCATCAGGGTCTCAGATCAGGGTTAGGATGATGTCTCAATACTGAAGATGGAGGAGCATCAATGGACCGCTGGTGGTGATGGCTGCAAGCTGCAGGAACAACAGAAATTAAATGCACTGCCAGTCACAGACAAACATCATCTCTGTGGTGGTGAGGATGACATGGGTGAACTCAGTAACATCTTCAATGTACATGTTCTTCTTTGGCCATCCCACAAGCTCCAGCTTCTTGTTCTTGGCCACCTGTGCAATGACCTACAAGAGAGATTAGCAATGCTTCTTGTGGGGTGCTCTGAAAAGAGAAATGTAGATTCTCACATCTTCCATCTTGACAATCATATCTTTGCTGAGTCCAGACACTGTCTTCTGTTTGAGGACAAGATGCCACCACTTCCAAAATATCTCCAATGAGCTCTTGTGTTTGATGCCCAGACAGTGCCAGTTGTCCTTGCCATGATGGATATTGCACCACCAACTGAGGAATGACTACAGAAAGCAAACAGTCTCATCCAAGTCTGAGATCTCACTCTATTTCTTCACCACATTAATCTTGATGTGTCAACAATACCTGCTCAGAGATCCTGGTGAGCTTTGAACATGGTTCAAGGGTCAAGGGAGCCATTGCCTATCTCTTCCAGTAATCATGGGTCTCATCCAGCTTCTCTTGGGTGTTGGGGCTGTACTGCTTCTGTTGAAGCTGGGTGATATTAAGGCTCTCAGCCAGGGCAAGATAGTGTTTGGTGGGGAGTTGGCCCTCATCATCATCTTTATTCTTGCTGGCAGTGCTGCTTTCATACCTGCTGTCTGAATAGCTGACCTCCAGGGCCACTATGGCATCCAGGACAGAGATAACATTGCTCTGGCTTTTGCTCCCTTTATTGTCAGGTCCAGCTGGGTGAGAGTGATGCGCCATGATCAAGACCCAGGAAAAGCCGGCCACAGAGAGGGCCAGAATGAGAAACTGAGTATGTATGTGCTTTCATGCACAAGAGATGCCCAGAAGAGCTACAAGAGCGACTCTTAGGAAGAATGGGAACTCGAGAAGACATGATCAGGGCCACAGAGCCTGGAACTGGAGAGAACATGATGGTTGAAGGGGGAGCCGGAATTGGCATGGTGAAGCATCAAAAACAGCTCCCCCCTCCGCAGGGTGAGCGAGTGGGTGAGCGAGGGTGAAGGAGGGCCACGAAATTCAGCGCCAGGACCACGGATATCTTGGGTGTGCGTGGAGCGAAGGTCCGTTGTCGTGGTGATTACTTCACGTGATGATCAAGGTTCGGCGGTTAGCAGGCGTCGAAAAATGGCAGCGAGAACCGCCAGTTTCGGCCGCCGGCTAACCGTCACAACGTTATATAGAGTTCAATAATAATAATTCATTGTTGAGATAATTAATAAATTCGTAGCATGGAGCATTGGAAGGAATTTGGCTCGTTGAGTGGTTTGGCTCATTGAGTGGTGAGACACCTTACATGGTCACTCTTCTCCATCTGCTCACAAAGCTTCAGCCGGAGCCTGCAGGTATTTAGGTATAGTACGCGTTTCGAATGGCTTTACAATATTCCGAATCGTTGCTGTGCAAAAGGTCTGGCAAGTGTTTGTTTGCAGACAGCCTTGCGAAAGTAGAAGTGTAGCCCTGATACAAAACTCAGGTTGAATGAACCTTATAGTTAGGGCAGCTCACGTCCTAGCTGAACAAACAGAGCGCATTCGAGAGTCTATAACATTCGAATTTAAGAGACGAGCAAATGTGACTGTGAGGAGACAGCGGGTTAGACATTCATGTCTCGTTACCTAACATTCACCATATACACATTGCAGCACTGATCCAAATACATCTCTCATTTTTCAACCTCTTCGTATGTGCTCCGAAGGGGCGTTAAAGGTAACACTAGTAGATTAGCCGAAGAACACGCGCTTACGCGGAGATTCTCGATTAAAAAAGTTCTCTCCCGCTCGCTTTCGTTGAGGCGGTGGTATGGTCTCATCATAGATTAAAGTCATATCAACGGCCTCTTTGATTGTATCCTTTGAAAGGCAAAAGTCCACATGTTGGTTGAACGCCATATCATCTGCTCGTTGTGGACATGAGCAGATAGGACATGTCCAAGTGTCATTGTTTGTGCTCCGATTTTCGCTAGCTGTTGGCTGAGCTGGGCTATCGGCGACTTCAGCGAACTCTTGATGAGATGATTCAAGGTCTTGACTCAGCGCTTCAAGGCTTTGAAGATCCTCAGTTCTTTCCTCCCGAGCTGCAGCTTCAAACTCTTCTTCGGTAGACATCACTTTTTCATCAGAAGCACCACTCATCGAGTCCATTAATGATTCGGGTGCGCCTGCCCCCTTTACACCAAAGAAATTAATGTCAGGTCTCTTTGTGCTAACAAGATTGGTGCAGCGAAGCCCCATTAAACGAATCTTCAGATTTGGCGTCTCTTTGTTAATTTTTGTCAGTAAAGGGAGTGCGTACTTGTAGAGATCATCTGCAAGGTAAACGGGTTTGGGTGTCACCACCTGTCTTGAGATAATCTCGAAGGTATGCAGCTTAATCTTTAGAACTAGCGTTCGTCCTTTGAATTCAGCCACACGCAGGTCTCGTTCAAGCTCTATCGCAGTTGACTTGAGTTTGTCTTGAAGACTGGCAAATCCTTCCAAATCTCGGAATGTCCTTTCGGTCCCAACACTTTTCCTTTGGCGCTCTTCAGCAGGTGCAATGTTCGTTCTCCCAAGCCCCAAGTAACACTGCATCAAAAACTGGAATGCCTTTTGTCCAAATAATGTGGCCAACATTCCCCTAAGCGAGTAGATATCGCTGCACATCTTAATTCCTACCGCTTCTAATTCGCGCTCGAATACCCGTCCTACGCCATTCACTTTCCGTACTGGGATTTTAGCCATGAATTCCATGATGGCCGCACGATCACTGGGAACGTAAAACTGTCCATTAGGTTTATTCCAGTTAGATGCAATTTTCGCAATTTTAGCGTTCGCAGCAATCCCCGCAGAGACCGTTATTTTCGTCTCTACTGCTATTTCGTTCCGCAGTTTCTGAACGGCCTCTTGTGGCTCCATATTGTTGGTCAGGCAGTATTCCGTGATGTTCAAATATGCTTCATCGATGCTGGCACTCTCAAATTGAGGATCATAATTGGCGAGAATGGCTCGAATCTCCTTGGCTTTAGCAGTATATTTCGCATAATTTTGAGGGAGGCAAATCAGCTGCGGACATAGCTTTTTAGCAACAAAGCTTGCCATGCCACTTCGGCAACCGTACTTTCTGGCAACATAATTGCAGGTAGTCAGGACTCCTTTCCCCACGGCCATCGGAACACTCCGTAATTCCGGTCGGTCCAACTCCTCCACTGCGGCAAAGAACGCATCGCAGTCAAGGTGAACGACAGTCTGAGAGAGATCTCGACTCAGTTCCAGTTCTGCAATGTATTCGTCCGCTCGACGGGTATGTGCTGTAAGATCCTGCTTCTCTAGCTTTTCTTTCTGTGCCAAAATGCGACTGATCTTCTCTGTAAGTGCCTGGTCACGAAGTTTTTCATGATTAAAGAATTTAGACCCCTTTGACGCTTCGTAAATGATTTCTGAAACCTGATCGCCCGTTAGCTCAAGTTATCCCGCAGCCCTCAGCAGGGATGACCGCTTGCGACGTACTTTCTGTTGGTCAACTTTGTCCTGGCCAGCCTTTGTCAGTGAGGGGCCCAGAAGGTGATATTTCAGCGTCTCGTCAGATTCGTTAGATCTGGGTTGTAGGGGAGCGTCAGCATTCTCCGACGCGTTCATCGTGCTGCGGACAAGATGCCATAACTAATATCGACAGTACGGAGTACAATTCCAGAAATGACCCTATTTGCGCTGCTGCCGACCCATTCCCACATCTCCAGATTTTCTGACGCGAGAGTGTTCGGCCAATTTAGTTTTGGTGTGGGTCTGTTGTCACGTGATCACGCGTGTCGGCGTGTTTCGCTGAATTGGCACGAGGGGATTTGGTGAGCAAAGAATAGCCATCCCCTGCTGCCGTCCTCCAACTATAGAGAGGAGCCCAGACTATGGTAGAGTGATCTTGTCAATATGTGGATCCTGTCATCAGACGGTGACTTTCTTCGAGGTGCGTTCTGTCAACTTTTCTCCCAGCTTACTTGGGCTGACCATCCACCAGGGAAAAGGATATGGCTGAAACCTGGAAAAAGATATCTCTTCGGTCGAGTCCAGGCTGGAAGTATGTCTCCCTATTTGTTGGTTCTGTGCTAAGGAACTGATTTCAGAGTAACACAAATCTTTTATAGCTACCCATGCAATCAACTCCGCGACCATTTCAAGACACCATCTCGTCATTGAGGTTGGACGTGTTCAACAGGGAGACGGCGTATGTTCTCGCGATTTCATAATGGGCCTAAAGCTGAGAGATTACGTAGTTGCACATTCACGCGCGCTCCAAGCTCACCCTCACCGATCAGAAGTCAAAGTGTGGCACCATCATCGATGGTGAAACTATCAAAGGCACAACCAAGGAGTTGAGCGGCCGGGATGAATATTCAGTTGTCCTGGGAAGATATCCGCATCCGCTAAAGTACGTGGCATACATTCTATTCCGAGTAATACTTGACCTATCTACTTATGTCTCTACATCTGATAGGATAAAATGGTGTCCCGTTGTCCTGAGCTTCTCGTTCGGCTCACAGGAAGAAGACCCCCTAAGCCATGCTCAATCGCGCCTAGAAGATCTGGACATTAAAACCATCCTTCCATATGTTGTCGACAAAACAACTCATGTTGTGCAGAAAAAGCGTAACACTGCCAAGGGATTGCAAGCGCTTATCAATGGAAAACATATCGTTGACCCGGCTTACATTGAGCATCTCGTGTACGCTGCAACTTCCACCGAACTCGAGCGGGAAGAGGCCCTCTGTCCATTGGAACTGGACTTCGATGCGGCGTGGCCAGATCCGACGAAGCACCTCCCACCTCGGGGAAAGGAGACAACCGACTTACCCGATTCCGCCTATGAACCTCAGCTGGAAAGGCTAGATGTATTTGAAGGTTATACCTTTGTATTCTGCGATAGCTCAAGGTTCGAAGAATTACAAGGCCCGATTACCAATGGCCACGGCAAGGCGCTTTTGTTCAAGGTCGAACCTGAAAAAAATACCCCACAGGAACTTATAGACTATATGACTCGCGCTTCTGGTAATAAAGGGCTGGCTCGTGATTTAGACGGTAGCGGCGGAGTCTTATTAGTACAACCTCGAAAGAAGAGGCATGAAAAATGGTTTGAACGTTTTGAAAATGAAGTTGGCCGCCTGACAGGCCAACGATCCATTGAACCCGGCGAATTCTTGGATTCAATCTTGCGAAACAATGCATCAAAACTTTATAGACCTTACAAGCCGTTGGTTGTGGAGGAACCTACTGCTCAATCGCAGGATCAAGTGATGGAGGACCCTGAAGAATTGGCACCTTCCAGGCTTGCAGCTACCTCGACACGGGCCGTAACAACAGAAGAAACTCAGAAGAGCCGCAGACCTACCAAGCGCACACGGACGCAACAAACCTATGTTCCTAAATTCAAAGATTTTGATGATGGGTTTGACATGGAGTCTATTCCAGTTTATACTCTTGAGGCAGAAGACGTCCCTGAAGAGCCGTCCCAGGTATGTATGAACGGTGTACGCTAAGGCGCCCAGTATCTAACACACGACCAGACTACCGCCATGAATTCGATGCCAGATCAATCAGTACAAGACCAAGAAATGTCAGATGTAGATGATGGAGTGTCAGAGCTTCTACCAGGAGCCACCGCTATGAAACAACACTTCAACGGTCGAACACGCCGTGCGGCTACGCCGCCACCGCAACCACCGCCTAAATCGAAAAGGCCAAAGTTGGATGTGATCAAAGCAGTGCGGCAACATCGTGAAGCGGAGGATCGCGCTGCGATGGCACGATGGGAAGAGGAAGAGACTGCGGCGATTGTTGATGGCATGGACTTGTCTCGTATTCAAAACCTTGCCATAATCGAGGAAATGCCAGTTCTCGAAAAAGCGCGGCCGGATCGACCATCAAATGGCGATGGTGATCGATGGGACGATCGCTGGAACGGTCGCAAGAACTTTAAGAAGTTCCGGCGTAAAGGCGACGGTGGCGTACAGCATAGGATACAAGCTATCATTGTTCCACTAGAAGAGGCTAATAGGAGGACATTTGATGCTGGAAGCGAGCATCGTAGTTGTAACAACAGCCCGAGAACCGAGCGGCATCTGTCTGTCGTGCAGGAGTCAAATGATACTACGACAACATCTCAACCTTCCTCGCAACGCACCACATTGAGAGCAAGGAAGCGATCGCGAACAAGAGATTCGGACAGTGAAGATGGGCTGAGGTTCCGCTTTCGGCGGAAGAAGCAACGGTGACGACAAAAAAATTCAGCGGCTACAGCTCGCAACTCCCTGCACGACCAGCAAAACGTCACAACAGTCAATGTCTGACGTCTAATAAGCAGCCACATCAACAAGGACGTCCAAAGAATCCTCGCCAAACCCATCGCCAACTTGATCTATCGTCTCCTTCACAACCACGTGATGGCGAGCAAGACAATCCATAGGGTGCCAATAAAACCAGTAAAACGACTCTGTTAACGATGCTAGAGGAAGATGAAAGCCCGGTCTCTTCTCTAGACTCCGGATAGTCCCACTTTCCCTCATTAACTCCTTACCATCTAGTAGGAGTGTGAGTTGACTCTTGAAACCTACCTCGGAGCAGAGGATGATGAGAATAGCAAAAGCTAAAAGTTGAAGCAAAAGAAAGCAACTGAGGAAGCCATATTGGATTACTCTCGAGAGGGCTGAAATTGCAGGCGGCGCTAAAATGGATTCATTGCCCTGTTGTCTTCCTATGGCTTGAAGATGAGACGAGGATGTTGGATTCACTTCTCCATGTCACCGCTCGTTCTTAATAGGCGGAACTGGGGTGTAGTAACCCTCCAATGTGTTATGCCTTCGAAAAGGCTCAAAAGAAGATCCTTTTGAAACTACACAAATACACAAACATATATATTCTGCATTTTGCTATAAATACACTGAAATATAAAACATGTACGGAGTATTCCGCGCGTCTTTATCTTTTAGATCTGAACCTATCATTTTAGTTTTCACTGGAACATCCTTCCTGTACCGATTTATGCGCCTTAGGCACTCTCCTTCGCCTCCGCAGCTGTAGGTAAGTTGCCCGTCTTGATCATATCCCCCGAAGCAACGGTCTCTTCCAACTTTACCTTCTCCTCCTCCGTCGCTGTAGTGATGTCAACGGCGACCTCTTCGCCAAAGTTCTTGGCTATTTCTTCCAGGCTCAGACGGGCGGTTTCGGGGAAGAAGAAGTATATCACTATCAAAGAAAATGGGTATTGGTATGTTGACCGCTTTATGAAGAAAAGAGAAGAATGAGGAAGCTTTTATCTTACCGGGAATGAAAAAAGCGGACCAGATGATCACAACTAGGTAGTATTTCCATCCTACGCGAGCGAAGCCAATAGGCGCGGTCTGGAGGAGGATGATGGTTGCTAAACGACGTCATTAGACTCTATATGTGCATATTGTCAGAGCATGTAGCGCTTACATGCAAACTGGCCGAAAAGCGAGAAACCCATTCCAATAGGGCGGATCTCGGTAGGGAAAATTTCAGAGACGTAAATGTACATCGTTGTATCGCAGAATGTTCTGTTGCAGGAATGTCAGAAACGTTTGCAAAGGGACAAAGAGGGAATGGAGTTGACTTACCCCTGGAATGCTAGGTACAAGAAGATGAAGAATATGCCAAACCCGTTACCAACACGGTTTGTTGTGCCAGCGTATTCGGCTGTCATTGCAGCCAAGCAAGACGTGGTGATGAAGATGCCCACAAAACCGACAATATACATCATTCGGCGGGAGTTGACCTTGTCATGAAGCCACGCCCCGAGTGGATTGTAGATCAGGCCTTTCGCATCGTCAGTGAGTGGTACCCATCTGAATGAATTATCGATGAATACATACCTGCGGTTGTCAGCCACAGTGCGCTTAACAACAAAGGCATATGACCAGTCATTCCAAGGTTAGTATAGAGGATCACAGCATAGTTATTCTGACGATCAAGATCAATTAGCTATCCTCATTCCCCAGGCAAAAGTCTGGTCTCAAAACCTAGACTCACAATGATAAGTGGACCACCAAACTCAGCACCCCACTGGGTCAAGAATCCAATAATCATTCTCTTCCGATAAGACTTCTTCTTGAGCACTGCCATCCAGAGGCTAGATCCGGTAGCAGCGAGTTTCTCTGCTTCGAGCTTCACCTGCTCCTTGCTCTGATAAAATTCCTCCTTCGCCACGAGATCCTGAGGATCGTCCTTTGACTGTCTGAGCCGGCGAAGGATCTCCCAAGCTTCGTCATACTTTCCTTTAGAGATTAGCCACCTGGGTGATCGGGGCAGCCATGGAGAGCCAATCAAGAGAAGTAATGGACTCAGGATTTGAAGGCAAAGGGGAAATCTCCAGGCAAACGACGGATTCACGCCCGTAGCGAAGTAACACCCATAGCCGACCCAGCCAGACAGCATGTATCCGAAAACAAGGAAAATTGCATGGTGTCCTACCAGCCAGCCCCGAACGAATGGACTAGACATTTCCGCGAAGTACATAGGGCAGACAGTGACAAGAATGCCGATGGACGTCCCCGAGACGAAACGACCGGCTTGGAACATCCTGACCACCATTGTCAGTGCCATCGTATTGGAACGTAAGCATCATACATAGGACTACAAGATATTTTTCCACAGAGGTATAACATACTTTAAGTTCGCTGCACCTCCCTGTAAGACACCTCCCAAAATTGCAAGAAAAGACCCAAGCTGGATATTAACCTTGCGGCCCCATGCTTCACAGGACCACATCATGAAGAGGGATCCGACAGCACCCCCGGCACTGAAAACACCGTTTGCAGTTGCGATAGCATTGGTAGTCACAGTGTCATATCCTGGTTCGCCCTGCATGGGCAGTTTGAAGAAGGAATACCATCCTGGCTGACCGATTGTGCTACTGATAACCGATGCGGAGTAACCATAGGTCTAAGATAGAAGTGCCCGTTAGAAGGATTGAAGAGAAGAAGAGGTCGAAAATGATATCAAAAACAAAAATAAAAATAAAGACTGTCTCAGAACATGGTACTAGTTAGAATACCTACCAGCGAGCCCAAGGCGACGAATGCAATTACGAGCCTGTTGTAACGACTCGTCTGAGATCCAAAGTCGGCCATGGTGGGCCGTTGCGTAATGTAGATAGCAATAACTATCAAAAGCTACAAGGATTGAGATCGTGAATAGTAAAAAAACCACGGAAACAAAAGAAAATCCAGAGTAGATATCGGGGGAATAAATATCATTGAAATGATGCCATGATGCCAAAGCACTCAATGAACGGCATAATTCGAGTTTCTCATGGCACTATTCCTTTCCCGCCTTGCATCGGATGACCTGTGGTACCAACACCGTCCTCATTAAGCCTTGAAAGGCGCCACAACCTAGGCAGTTATTAAATTCATCGAAATGGCTATCGGTAAGCGAATTTTAATGAAATGAGCATTGTGTCACAGGGTCCTGAAATACTGCTTGGCCGAGCCAAACAGTTAGTGTAGCGCTACACGACCTGCTAAAGCAAATCGGCGAATAGGGTAAAAATGAAAATTTTTCAGGCAATTTGTCGTGTTAAATACCTCAGCTTTAAAGTAAACCTGTAACCTGCCATGTTCAGCATTGCAGTGGCCATGCAGAGCTGTCTCCTTGGAAGGAGTACCACAGTGACATATGGCAGAAAACAACTAGGTAAGATGACAAAAGCTCTCCTGGGGAACCGGGTGTTTGATATCCCGAGGGTTTTGGTACAATATTTTCCCCATAATTTGGCGGTAAACGTTGAACACGCTCGACTGAGTCAGACGTGGTTAGAGGAACAAAGCTTAAACGAGTATTCCAGAGTAAAGCCACTTCCTCACCAATACAAGCAGTAATAATTGTGAAGCAATGGCAAGCAATTCGAGGCCCACTTGGGTCTCCGCCTGTCATGGTGCTTGTACGCACCGAAAACCACGCGCTTATCTTGACACTCAGGGAAAAGTGGAGGAAACGTCTGAACCCACTGCCGAGGTGGCCCCCGAAGTCGCATAAACTGGTATAAAGCAATAGAGAATCCCAATTTTGGAGAAGTAACAAGCCTTCCTTCATGACAGGACGGTTCATGAAGTGCTCTCTTAGGCATATGCACGACTGCTCTTCTTGATAAATGCTGCAATTGTGGGACCACCGGCTTCGTCCAACCGAGGCACTAACCATCAACTTAAAAAAGTTCCTGGATCTGGGTAAGCTAACTAAAGTTCGCCCCAAAACCTCAAGCGCGGCCAATTCAATGGTAAGATCAAGCGAAGCCCCAGGCGCAGATGCCCAGGAACGGAATAGTTAGTGCTGGCGCTAAACCATAATGTCAGGACCTGTGACCTTTAAGACGAAGGCTAGTCAGTTCATGATGTTATCGACTTTAGCTCTAGGCACTAACAGCTGCGCGCCAGCACGATTCTCAGCTCGCGGGTTTGCTATCAGAACCAAGGCGTGGGAACACTTTGCCGTGAAAATTCGCCGATTATAAGCGATCAGGGCCGACTTCCTGATCAGGAAATTATCAACGAGACCTCTTATTTCTCCGATTATCGGAGGAGCGGCATAGTAATCCGGTGATTTGTGCCTTCATGTGTAGAACATCTAACTATCCCGAAGCCGGTAGCCGCTTACCAATTAGCACTTGTGTAACTTATAGGCTTCCAAGAACTCCACATATCACAGGTATGCTAGCTGCGCAAAATATGGAAAGCCTCTTGGATATGCCGCAAAGTTCTTATCCTCCTGCTCTGGATGCGGGGAAGCCTAGGCTAGGGACTCGTCGATGCTTGTTGGAAGGTCCTATGTCGAATAGATGTACGCGATGAAACCTCCTTTGTAAACAACAAATCAATGTCACTGCCATAGTGATTCCGCCGCCTTGTTCGAGCCATGGACTCATCTTCATCTGCTTTCGATATTCCTTTCGACAAACTACCCAATCCCAAACAAGTTTGGGTTGGGAAGCCAGGGAGCAACGAAGAAGGATTGGGAAAGCTTGCCTTGCTCACCCCTGAAGTAGTGGCCAATGCAGCAAAAGAGATAAAGACAGGTCGACGTGTGACGCTTGGATGGGAAATGACAAAACTCGAATTGGCCAATCTCAATCGGCATCCATGTCAACATCACATTATCTCTCTGCTCGACGGGGTTGCATTCGACGATGTCTACGTTTTCAATCCGCGTACGTATCATCCCTCCCCCACCCATATGTGTTTTCTTCCCCCATCGCCTTTTGTCGCATTGAGGGCCTGAAAAACTGACGAATTCAAAGAGCAAAGCAGTCAATGGGACGGGCTACGACACTTTTCACAAAAGATCCCTGCGACAGACGATAAACCCGCACACCGCGTCTTCTATGGAGGGACCACTGCCACCGAAATATTAGACCGATCCACGGACCGGATCGGCATGCAGCACTGGGCTCGTGCCGGAATCACGGGCCGTGGAGTGCTCATCGATTACGCCTCGTGGGCCGAAAAGCATGGTATCGAATATACCACATTCTCCACACACCAAATTCGGCTCGGCGACATCATCGAAATTGCAAAGGAATGCGATATCACATTCCAGAAGGGCGATATGTTATTCATCCGGATTGGGGTAACCCACGAATGGGACAATGTCATGACGGACCAACAGAAGCGCGAATACTCGCTTCATCCTGCGCCAGAGCATGCAGGAGTCGAAGCAACAATAGATATGCTGCGCTGGATTTGGGATTGCAAGTTTTCTGCGGTAGCTGGCGACGCTATTAGCTGGGAGGTCAGCAGGTCCATCAGTCATGTTCCTTTTTCCCTCCTAACGAGAGCAGTCAACTTATGCAAGGAAGAAAAGCTGAAATCAGTCTTAGGTATATCCTCCACAGAATCCAGAGCTGTTTCTGCACGAATACCTGCTCGCTGGCTGGGGCATGCCAATCGGTAAGTGAAGACCAAAGAGAGTTGACGTCTGAAGGTCTCAAAGGGGGACGGTGATGATCTCGTGATCTTCTCAGCCCTAACCAGATTCATTCCATTCGCCCCTTGTACCGTGTCTGATAAGCGTATGATCTAGGAGAACTCTTTGACCTCGAAGAGCTTGCCCGCACTTGTAAAGAGCTCGGAAGGTGGAGTTTCTTTGTTGCATCCGTGCCGCTGAATATGCCCGGCGGAGTTTCGTCGCCGCCGAATGCAGTAGCCATATTCTAGAAGGGAAATTAACTTAACGCAAAAAAGTTAGTTGGCGTAGTTAAAAAAAATGCAAACCTTCTAGTTCCTCATTCCAAGCATGTGCATGAAGATAAACAATAAAACGAAAGCAAAAAAGGAAACTTTCAAGTGCTCCCACTCAGATTCGAACTGAGGACCTCATCATTACTAGTGATGCGCTCTACCAACTGAGCCATAGGAGCTGCTTGTTGATGAGGCTGTGCTCATATCGGTATAACTATTGACCGGTAAGCCGGCTTGGCGTGGCTTGGCGGGCTTCGCTTTCTGAAACACAGGTGACGTCAAGGGGTTGCTGCATTTTGCCGACGGTTGCATCGTCAGAGGCTTCGCGTTGGCGACGAGATCGTCACACGCTGCGGCCGGTGCAGGGGTGCAGGGATGGCAGAGAGTGCGGCAGGGCCTCTGTCAGGGTCCAGCAACACGTCGGTAGCCCCCGAGGATAAGAATACCGCAGCCAAAGCGCGTAGTTTTCGAATACTGGCCGGGCGCGCCTAAATCTGATCGGCGCTGACCATCAGATGGAAAGCAGCTTGCATCACAATGTGGCTGCCCGTATTTAAGCTTAACGCTCGCTAGCCTTCCCGCTCCCGATGTACATCCGGGATCTTAGAGTTAATTAAGGTATCACTTCTAGTAAATGTAGATCGTGGCCTTCGAGTGCGATTCAATGACCGTTTTGTTGGATGTCGAGTTATGCTGTATTCTATTGATTTGACGTTAGTTACGTGCCCTATTCATTGAATTCCATACATTGAGGACAGGCATACGGAGTAGAGGGGAGGGACAATTACCCCTGTCTTACAATCCACGCACTCTCCATATTCGCACCCAGTTTCCAAAGTACTGGGAAACCACCAAACAATTAACTATTGAAGGATCTTGCCGTGATGATTGGGGCGCAACTCTATGTCATGGATCTCAATACTCCATCGGCCTGACCTAAACAGCAGCCCTGCCAACCGAACACCGCACATCGCTACCGTCCAAACGTCATTCCTTGGCTTAGGCAGTTGCATTTTTGGCGACTTTGGGAACCGGGCTCGGAAACCGGTCTTCGCTGACAAAGTCTCCCAGGGTTTCGATATCTTGCTTGCATTGCGGCGCGATATGTCCCGAAGTCCCCAGGCATGTATTGCATTTTTTCCAATCCATGAAGTTTTGAAGATCTTTTGCACTCGTGAAGGATCCTCTCTCCAGAGAGAGCATAAGATACTTGCCATTTTCAAGGCTTGTCTCAAGAATGTTGTAAGTGACATTAACAAAATAGAGAACTGCTCTCAATGTGAAACCCAAGGACATAAAGAAAAAAGGGAAAAAAAATATTCTTAACCCGATTCCTTTGTCTCATTGCCAACAATTTCCTATTCCTCTAATGATGAACGTCCCTCAACATCTGCAGCATTCCGCATATCCACAACTTTAACACTTCAATCTTTATGGTAACCTCTCATCATTTGTTTATGCCTGGCGTACATTGGCAAATGGCTTTCCTTATCTCCTTATCAAGTGCCATGCGCCGGGCCAGTTGTACTAAGAGTTAAAAAAGAGTGTGGGCGAAGTCTCCTCCTCACAGACAGTTGAACAGGCTTATTAGCTTTGAAGCTATATTCTAAGCATTCACTCGAAAACTGAGCACTGCTTCTCCGTTAAGTGAGGTGGATATAAACTTCGAGACTGTCATTCAACAATTACTCCTCTGGGGACCAAAACAAAAAGCCCATTTTCGGTTGAAGAAAATCTTCCAGGAGAGCACCGAAATGCAGCTTGACAGTAGAACTTGCAACACCTGACTCCATCACCCAAAGCAGGTCCAAGGTCAGCTGAGGAGGAGGAGGAGAGAAGCTGGGGGAGAAGAACAAAACGAAGGAAGCAGAGAGTGCAAGGCCGCACAAACAACCTTTTTATATAACCAACCAAGCCAGGCCAAGCGAGACAGCCGCACAGGACATGCTAAACCGTACTGTAGCAGAAAATTAAGCGTTGTTACCCGGGCGGGCCGAGTACGGCGGAGTCAGTTGCTCCGTGCGTAACACCAGAATCGCCGAAGGAATCGCGCTTGGACAGTAAATACTAATAGCGATGCCACAACGCTCGGATAAAGCATGCAAATCGGCCCTCCCGCAAGGAAAGGATGCACAATCACTATTCGTGATCTTGGTGTGGATCTTCGGCAATGTGCGTTTTGGCCCCAGTCACATTTCCCGTCGGCAATGGACCGTATCAACATCAGCGTGTCTCCGCCGAGGCCGGTGCCGCGTCTCTTTCAAATTTAAAAAGCGCGAAACGCTGTCTATGACTCAATACCACAGGATATCTTGCCCCTAAGTCTTACGTTTTCTAGCTAGCTAAGATATATACATAAACATCGTAATAGCCCTCTCTAGAACAACAAACCCCAGGCGAACAAAACCAGAAGAAGTTCCCCACAATGCCCTGCTCCCTCCGCCGGCTCTCCAGCCCCGCTGACCTTGCTCGAGCCGTCGAAATCCAATCCATCACCTTCGCCAACAGCGCATTCTGCCGCACTGTCGGCGCCGCACCCGAAGGCAACCCGCGCGATCTCTCACCCTCCGACCGACACGCCATCCAGATATCCCGCCTGCAAGAAACACTCTCCTCCGACCCCACCTTCCATCTCATCGGCGCCGTCGACGATGAGACCGGCGAAATCATCTCCGTCGCAAAATGGTATACATTCCTCGACAAAGACTCGTTAAAGCGGTGGAAGGAAGGTGTGAGGACTGGCGGAGACATGGAGATTCCGCGGGGCGTGGAGGAAGAAGGGTATAGGTTTGCCAAGGGGATGATGTTCGAGGGGAAGAAGAGGTGGTTCGGGGAGGAAGGGAGGGAACATTGCTGTGAGTCTTCCTCCCTCGACTGTTCGATTCCTACGTGCTTTAATAGGCGCTGTGTGCTCTCTTAAGGAACAGTACTGACTCTTGAAACAATCGATCACTTTCTTTTTCAGTTCTTGCCGTCCTCTGCACCCATCCCGACCATCAGGGCCGCGGTGCAGGCACCGTTCTCCTCAAATACGGGCTCGACATCGCTGACAAACACGGTGTAGAGTCCTACTTGGAAGCCTCCGTAAAGGGACAGCCTCTCTATGAGAGATATGGATTTGAGACTATAACTTTCCCAGACGGCCAGCCTGGGCGGTTGGAATTTGATGTCGGAAGGTTCACAGGTCGAGGAGGAGACGAGGGCGATTGGGTGCGCCTAGCGCTCATGACCAGAAAGCCGCAGCCGAAGAATTAGAAGGAAAGTTACGTGGCTTTGCTTTGGGAACTGGTGGCCGGCGGGACCGTGTATACCCGTTCTATATAACGGAACTTTCATCACATGTCGAGAGCAAACATGGGTTAAAACTGACATCCAATTGAAAAATTCCTTACTTGCACGAGGCTCCTTTACGGTGCCTCCCGAGTCCAAAAGGTTCCTCTGCTTCATTACATCCTGTTCCAAAGGTACGCTCAAAGCACAAAGACAAACATATTAATCTGGTCAAAGTGTATCCCACATCAAAAAACGAATGTCTCAGCGGCTCAACCAGCCTGGTACACCGCTGGCCCAGCAACAATATGCGGATTCAGCAAACTCAAGTTGAACGGCGTAACAAACAAGTCCAGATCCGTAACGGCCACAAATATTGTCCCGTTAATTGCAGGGTCCCCAGCATACGTATCGAATTCCGGCTGCGTTGTCTCCGCCGTCATTGGAATCGAGCGGTTGATACGCGTCAACGGCGAGTATGTGATATTCAACTGCGTCACCCACGCCAAGAATGCAGGTTGACCGGCCGTGGATGTGGTAACGTAGCTGTTGTTGGGACCGACGTGCATGCCCGGCTGCTCCCAGGAGATTGCCACGGGTTGTCCTGGTTCTGTGAGCGGGTGGGTCCTGTTTCCTGAGATCGACGGTGCACATGTCGAGTTCGAGCAGAGATCCTCCGGGTCGATTGCAGACATATTTGCCGCGTTGATTCCGGGCCCGAGAGCCGTGTTATTTAGCGCGGTTGCATTGGCTGCGAGTGGATTTGGCTGGCTAATGATGCTGAGGGCTGGATAGTTCTGCCACACAAGCCGAGGGTTCCTCCAGGGGCAAAAGTGGATATGCGGGGCGATCAATGTCCAGGCCCAGGATTGTGGGATGCTACTTTGGAACCAGACAGGCACAGGGAACAAGCCTTCAAATTGACGGAGGATGAGCTGCTGGCGACCAGTAACCGAAATCGCCTGGAGAAGCAGCTGAGCGGTTTCTCGCGCATCCAGATGTGGTATAAAGCCATAAGCTTGGGATTCTATAATTTTGCTGACTTTCTGGGCAAAATCGACGAATTCAAACAAAGTTGTGAAAGGGTAGCGATAGCTGCATCTCGTAGGAGCTGTATGGCCGAGGATGTTACTCAACAGCGTAATATGACCCAGCACCTCACCTCGCAGGAATCGGACCAGGTTTCGGTCTCTAGCAGTTAGACCCGCCTCAATGAAATCCCGGGTGGAAAACTGGGAGAGGCCCGTATCGAACATATCAAGCTGAAACCAATCGCAGTAGAGGAGAAGTGCCTTAAGGGCGGGGGGGTCACATCTTTAGCCGCTATCCAATACAGAGGAGCCGGGATCAAGCAGTAGCAGTTATAGCACTCACAACAGACTGGTAATCATAGTCGCTCCGCACGTTATAGATCGGCATCGTGCCATTGGTGCCCAATCCGCCTCCAGGGAGGAACGGCGCAGGTTGTGTGTCGTTGAGCTTGCCGTCACTGGGATATCTCGTCGCTTCAGGAGGCGGTGGCCTTGGTGTAATAGCCGGCGCTCGCACAGAGCCCGACAGAGCACCCGTAACGGTAGGCACGCCGGTGAACGACCCCGTAGCCCGTGAAAAGCTGGGGCCGGTCACCACAGGCGGAGTGGCGGGAACCACTATACCACCCGCATAGGTTATGTTCGCCGGCTGAGCATTTGCGGCAAAGAATAATAAGGGGGCAACAAGCCCCAGGAGGAATGGATCGTAGAACATCCCGACTGCTTGCAATGCCGTTGTGACGATGCAAGCTGGAAAATTTGGGGTGATTCTGGTATATCAAGAGACAGCTAGGCATTTATTCAAGGGACATCGTCCCCAATGCCCTTCTTCAAGGGTCCAAAACAACATCGCTGACGCAATGGCATAGAGGACCGCCGCTGATAGAAAGGTGAGCGAAAATCCTGAAGGTGTCTACGTAGGTTTTCCACTGCCCGGTTCATCTTGTCGCGGGAGGCGAACATGCGATATCGAAAGCCGGCTTAGGGAAGATTCCTCGGGAGTTTAAGTGAGCTCCGCCGAAGGGCCAAGCTGTCGAAGATGGGAATAAAGCTTGCTCCCAACCTTATGAAGGATCGATACCGCCGCCCGTTTTAACGTCAAAATTGACCTTGCGCCACGAGGCCAACCTTGGCAACGGAAATCCTGAAACGGGTGAGGCTTGGGATTTCATTGGTCCGCTTTCACCTCATCAACGCGCGAGCTGGTAGTGAAGCCCTTGAGATAGGCCTAACTGTCAAAAAGTTGCGCTCAATCCACTATCAAGTTATCAACCGGGCCAGAAGAGAGCATCCTCTCGCTCTACTGACGTGCACGACTCGCCGATCCGCTAACCTCTTGCCTGGCTTTTTCCACATGTGCCATAGTTAGTTAACTAGGTCTAACAAACTGTCTACTATGACACTCGGTGCACACCACCAAAAGAAATGCAGCCCGCTTCAATGAGCTCATAATGATAACCTACGGCTATCCTTATAAGATCTTAAAATTTCCCAGCCCTTCTATTCCTGTTATCCCCATTAATCATTAAAAAAAAAAAGTTGCCCTAGTAGAAGAAGGCGAATTGTGCGGGAAAGTCGGCACGGAGAACGCAGCGCCAGAGCCTGCCACCTCCTCCAAATGTTTCCCCCATCTAACTCGGCGGTCCAAGTTCATGGGAATCCGCCGTCTCCCGTTCCTATTTATATCAACCGGGGATTCAACGTGAAATCCACCATGGTCATTGCCGAAGAATCCGAGCTTTATGCCCCACGGGATCTTTTTGCAGTTCCTATGACCATGTCTTTATGCCCATTCTCGCATTGATTTGTTTGAATTAGATTAAGGACGGCCTGGAATCTACTATCAATAAACCTGGAGACGTAGCAGTTTCTATCCCACGGTTGATCGTGGAGTCAATCCAAGTCCAGCAGATCTACCTGAGTAGGGAATTCATCCCGTGGTCTAAACTATGAGATGCATGATGGATATTCGTCAACGTTATTCTTTATTGAACTTGTGTATCGGTATCATCATATCCTGCCACGCAGAGTAACTTTTGGATATATCAACGGTCTATCGACCTCTGTGTTAACGCTCAGATGCTGACAGACAAAAAGAGGCCCATTAGAAACGATAAAGGAACATATCAAAAAAGTCAATGCCAAACGCCCGCTAATAAACGCACAAAGAATCAATTTGAAATGTCCTCCGAGCTCCCGGCTTGCGGAGGCGGCAAGTTTTCCAAGCCTTCCTTGTTAAAGTCACTGGTAAATTGCTCCTTGGCAAAGATCATAGGGCTAGTACGCTCAAAGTATCGCTGCACACTCTCCTGTAATAGACCTTCACTAAGGTCTCCGTCATCGTACGGGCGAGGCTTTTCATCGGAATGGCGAGCCACGGAGGCAAGCCACTCCTCTCGTAACTCCTTGACTTTTTGCTTGTAATCAAGATCGGCATCATAATATTTGCCAACGCCACGGAACCGCTCCCAGAGAGATAGATGCGATGGGTGCACGGCAGGACCATGATACTCATGCTCACGCCCATTGCGGATATAAAACCAACGTCGCTCTTGTTCTTTCAAATCAAGACCGGTTGTGTCAGGGAGAAACAGGAAAGTGAGAACCATGCCGGCCAAGCCAAACCATGGTACAACGTGGAATTTTTGTGTGGTGGAGATGTAATTGTACATCACCGCTGCCACCAATGCACCAAGTTTACCAATGGCAGCCGCAAAACCGTGGGCTGACGCGCGGATCGGGGTAGGAAAGACCTCGGCAGCGACCAAGAAAGTCACTGAGTTCGGGCCGAATTGGTTGAAAAAGCTGCTGAGGAAGTACATCGCTTGGAAAGCGTGGATGTGTTCGGGTGAGGTGTAGTATTCGAAGTGATACGCCGGAATGATGAAGAAAATGAAATCCATTAAGAAGCCGATGATCTGCATCCACTTGCGACCGTAGAGTTTGCTGTCAATGAGAAATGCTGCGCGAGAGAGTTAGAGAATCTTTTTCAACCGTGTTGTCTGCGTTTAAGAGTGTGTATCTTGAGATATCATCAAAAGACGGGCACTTACAGGCCAAGTAGTAACCGACGAGGGAAACGCCAACGTTGAGGAGGTTATAAAGCCACCCCGGCATAATGGACGTAGTCTCTGGGCTGATAACAGAAATAAACTCGTTCTGGAACAGCTTGTTCCCGTAGAAGAACACATCGTTGGCAAACCACGTTCCGGCTGTAGCTAAGAGACGGAAGCCAAAGTACTTGAAGGTAAGTCGAAGCGACTTGGTGTCGTAGCCGGTAACGCGAGATTTCGCTTTCGCAATAGCCAACTGCTTGCTGGCGGCTTTCATCTTGTAAAAGCGGTAATACACCAGCCATAGGGTGCCCACAGCGGGAATGGCGAACGAGACACGGTACGTCCACTGCGCTGAAACTGTTGAATAAGGGGCATTTCCGCTTCCATGATGAAAGATGAGAAGAAGAATGATCAAAAGGGCTTGATTGAAAAACTGGCCCCAGCCCTGCATGAGAAATGCACTTGTGACTTTCCGGCCACGGTGCAATCGGTCTTCCTTTGTCGAAACCTTACCGGAACCGACAGCATTTTCCATGCCACTTGTAGCCGTCATGGGGTATTCACCTCCAACCCCGATGCCGTAGAAAAACAAGGACCAAACGTAGCATATCACCCATCCATTCTGGGTAACCCCCCAAGCTGCAGTCAGCATGACAAGACCCAGAAGCATGATGACAGCATCTTGAATCAGACCCCATCGTCGCCCGATCCTGGAAGACATCGTCAATTTGAGGATTGGAGGTACGAAAGGGGAATATTTGCGTACCAGTCACCAAGGATCCCAACGAGTATTTGGCCGACAATGATGCCACAAATTTCAAGGTACTCGACGGCGGCAATCCAAGTCGGATTGCAGATTTCTTTGGTCTTCCAGCACTCGGGAAACGATTTCTCAAACAGCGGCTTGATATTGCCAATAGAAAAGAGGACATAACTAAAGCATATCTTAGCGCGCCGTAGCTTCGATGCAGATCATCCAAAAGGAGGGCCTAGCCAAGAAAATCTGTATGTATGTGTGTATGTACGGAGTGCTTACCCTTCCAAACCAAGCCCAGCACCAGGCAGGACCATATTACGAAAATAGTAGGACACCGGTGACAAGGGGTCGTTCTTGAACATCTTCAAGAAGCCGCAGAACTCTCTTCCAGCCTCTTTCAGGTCGTAAGAACTGACAAACCCTATCCTTTTGAGCAGCGGTAGATCCGCCCAATAGACGCCGTCGGATGTGTAGCAGTCATCTGGGCGAATCAGGCGGTCGAATGCCTCCTTCTCATTCAAGTTCATTTCCTGCAGGGGTTCGTGCGTGCCCGTCATGTCAGGCCCGTGCGGGGCTCGGGGGCCAAAGTCCGTCATCTGTTGGTATTTCAGGGGAAGCTCTGACAAGCTTGCTGCTTTGAAAATCCGCCGAGAAACGAGATGGCCCGCAGGAATGGGTCCTGTCGCGTGGTGGCCCGGACGATGGCCTGGGGTTTTCCTGGCTGACCTGCTTCAGATCAGCATGCAGCCCCTCCAGAAAGGGGGAAACGGGCCAATGGCAAGCGCTGGGAGGACAAAGGAAGCTGGGCGGAAGATGCACGATGCAAGAAGCCAGCGGAAATGCCAATGCTCAGCCCAAGAAGCCAAGCAGATGCCTAGCAACGGCCCGGCCCATCAACCCCAAGCGCAGCGGGCAGCTCTTCAACCACGTTCTTCCAGGCGCCACTCTCACTGGCTCCAGCGGACGATCCTGACAAGAATCATGGCGAAGCTTAACCTGACCAAGCAATCTTGACCATGCACGCAAGAACAATGGGATGATACTCACTTTGCAGGAGTACAGATCCACTACCCAAGAGCAGTCCTCTTGGCTCTTGACTCTCCACGAGCCAGTCTCTCAAAGAAGTGCGGAACGAAAAAGATTGAAGTTGACGCAGACAAGAAAAAAAAAAATAAAAAAAAAAGAGAGAGAGGGAGAGAGGGAGGAGGGGGGATTGGGAGAATTAAAGAGGAGCGAGAAATGGCTCTGTCTGTGCTCCTCCATCTCGCTCTATGTATCCGCCCCTCCCCGACGGACGTTCCAGCAATCATGGGCAAAGAGTCGACCATCCGCGTGCATTGCCATTTTTTTTTCCTCCACCAGCTTGGGGTGGAACCCGGTAACAGGACAGTATTTGCAGTGTATCTTCGATTCGATACCGCCACAGTCTGGTGGTACCGCCATTGAAGCTGCCGTGTAACGGACCGTACCAGGACAGGGCTAAGACCGGTGCAAGACAGGAGCCGACGGGAAGTGTATGAGCTTGCGGCGGAACCAATCAGACTCCAGGTGCCTCGCACGTGTGGCAAAGGAGTCGAGCGAGTGGTGAGCGCCAAGCCCGGGAGAGGGACTTGGGATTTGCTTGTCTGCTCGCCGAGACTCTTGGTACTGGAAGATCAGTTGATCCGCTGACCGCCGCCCGCCGCCTGCGTGCTGCAGGAAGTAGCAAAACGGGAGGCGTAGCCGCTGCCTCGAATTGCCTCAACTAGCCACGGGCAGGCCTGCGAGAGCGTCGTTTGCTTGCTGCGGTCGAACAAACCCGAAGCCGACGACAGCCAGAAAAAGAAAACAAATAGTATGAGTCTTCGCTGGGCAAAACCTCCCAGAGATTCGTAGCGTGACAGCCCAGCGTCCCCCAAGGCCCGCCCATCCATACAACCCACATATTACGCACGAAAGCTGGCATTGTCCTCCACCCTTCCTTTCTCTTGTCGAGGGTTTTCGCAATGCCAGCTGGCAAGGCATCCCGCCCATGGACGCGTTGATCTGCACCGGAAGGTCTTGAATTGCGTTTCACCAGCAACTTCAGCTCGCCTTCCCCCCTTGTCTGTCCCTCAGCCAGGTGAGGATCGTTTGACGTTCGTCGCGAACAATCAAGAGTGCTCACGTTCCCGTGCTATTCCCTGACCGTCGACATGACTGTTTTCCACTTGGATCTGTCCCGCATCCTCTTGGACTCTGTTGTTGCTGGGCATTGGCATACACAGGTTATTGGTGGTGCCGCTCCGTGTGCAACCTTCTCGAAAAGCATTCTACGCCGTCACCTCCAAAGCCGTTGGGCCGGTTCATGACTGTGGCTTTCCGGCTGCCATTATCCTCCAGGATCTCCGTGTGTGTGATGTCCAGCCCCCCAAAATCCGAAACGCAAGCCAGATGACTTTCGAAATCAGCTGCATTGTTCTGTTTGTGTCGAAAACTGGATTCTCAGGCTGTCTGATCGGGACCTTCAGGGTGATTTCATTCAAATGCTCTTTCCGGGCAAAATAGCCCTCCAGGCAGATACATATCTCCCGGACGCGTCCGCAAGCTCGGGAATTTCCGCTCCAGCTGACGTTGCCCGGGCGGGTACACGTCTTATTTATACCGGTATTCTCTAAGTGCATAGACCCTCTTCAGGAAGGTTTCCTACTCCCAAACTCCAATGAGACACATTCCCAAACCGCAGTCGTTTGGGATCCTCAGAGATCCAACTGGGGATTGGCCGATTTGATCGCAAAGGTTCTGTGAAAACTGGGAGAGAGATCTAATCCCGCATATCCGTAGTACCGATCAAAAGTTGTGTCGCCATACGATCCGGGCTGTAACCCAAAAATAGTCCCTGCCCGATGTCATTGCGGCTGGCTCTTGCGTTGATTTGTTGAATTTTTGACAAGCTAGGGTGATCCTCTTGTTAAGGTGGAGGTAGTTCCAGGAGGCTGATCACGCAGAATCACCTTCGACTCACTCGAAATTAGTCTGTTTCCATGTTTGTACTTCACACTTGGACAACTCTCTGTACATGTGTGTTGTACCAAATACGTAAGCCACCGTTCCGCCCGACCAGCCCGACCAAGAACTTCAAGGCTTCAAGCAAGAAGCCGCGTTGGCTTCTAGAATCCTGAGGCAATGCTGCACTGCAGTGAAGCCATGTGTCATTTGATTTCTGTAAGCGGAACACAATTGAAAACCCCACACACTGCAGCGGGTTGTTAAGCCACCTGACGTGGCTTGAAATACGGCCACTGAGCGAAATAATGCCACGTAATATGGTATCTAGAGTAGATTCCAATTGTGAGGAGCACAATGGTGACATTTGAAGGCCAACAACATGAATTTTCATGAGTAAGGAGCATAGTTATCGTTCCAACCTGATGTGTGTGTGTGTGTGTATTTTTTTTCTACCCCGGGAAGCACCAGATTTATGTCCTTCTGATCATGTGTAGTTATCTATATAATATATACCGGAACACTCAGATTGTTCCACAGAATACAAGGGCATCTACCTTGTACAGGTGTTGCGTATGTATCAAAAAGGAATCTATCGCACTTCCAAGCTCTACCAAGTCTCTGCCTTGGCCAGGAATCCAAAATGATCACCGTTTCCAGGCCTGTCAAGGCCCAGCTGTCTCGCGATTTCTCTCACAAGCTCCACAGCGCCCAGCACCTGTTGGCCTGTAGCTCCCAGGTTCCTACATCCAAAAAAGTGCCTACAGAGAAAGAGAATTAGAGCAAAGCAGACAGTACGCCGCGCTGATGCAGGGAATATATCACTCACCCTTTAGCCTGCGGAGCAACATCATCCGCCAAACAGCACACAAACTCCATCATGACCGTTTCCATGGGATTAAGAATCCTCATTTCACCCATGAGTTCACCGTACACACTCCTGATAGCAAAGTCACTCAGGTCTCCGCCCGAGCTCTTGCCCATGTTCGCCAGGATACGGTCGGTATGGTTGGAGTAGATTTGGGAGAAGAAGTGCTTTCCACGCTTGAGTTTTTCTTCAAGAGGAACCGGGGCGCGCATGGATGTATCTTTTGATAGAACGGGGAGGAGGTCTGGAGAATTGCTTTCGATGGAGGACTGGAGGGAGGAAAGAGAGTTTATTCCCTGGGCGCATCGTTAGAAGCGGACTGTCATGGAGAGGATAACTACGGGTGGAATAGGGGAAGAGTGTTTGGTGACTCACCCGAGGAAAGCCAACGAGAACGCTGGCTTTCAAGCAGCATTCTCGAATCCTCCGGGCAATTGTAACTCTTGTGGTTTGGTCGCAGTTGTTCAGGCCGTTGATGTATTTCCATAGCTCTCCCACTGCGGGCTCTTGGTGGAACGAGAGAAGTGCAGCCGTCGCAACGACGTACCATAACGAGATCGCAGTGGTGTTATTGGCCTCGTTGGGCATAAGACTTGCGAGCGCCGAAAAATCAAGGCTCCGCTGCTGCGAAGTAGGCTGCGGAGCGGGAGAAGAGGACGAAGAGGATGCGGAGGAGGACGAGGAAGCCGCGGATGATATCGCCTTATTCTGCATATGGCCCTGGATGGCCCTCAGGCGCAATGCCGCCTTGGAGTCTGACATTTCAACCCGTGCACGTCTGTTCGGAACAACCGCCGTGCCTGTGCCGAGCTGATTATATCCTCGCCGAAATGTGAAGGAGGCAGCTGCTACTGTTCGCGATACCGATTGCGTAGGACCCAAGCACTTCCCAAAATCCTTGCCCAGAATGCCTTTAAAGCGTGGGGGGAAGGATGGGGTACGCATACCTAGGGGTCGGATAGGAGGAAGGCAATCAGGCGCCTTTGCCTAGGTACATTCATCTTTGCGATAAACTCCACTCCCGCTGACGCTAAACTATCGCGGAGAGATGGCACCGTTCGGCGAGTTTGCGGGATGACAAGGCATGCAAATAGTGCAAACATGCTGAGCTCCGGTGCCAGGGAGACCGCCGCGTAGCTTTTCACTTTCACAACAATAGAAAATTCGAGCAAAGGTGAAGATGTGTCTGAGAGATCATGATAGAAACCTCTCATTATTCATATTTATTCACAGGGATTTTATCAGTTACAGTTTTGTTATTCTTCTTCGATGCATTTCCCGTCACTCTCCCGTCACTCTCCCGTCACTCTCCCATCACTCTCCTGGCACTCTCTTGTTACATTCCCATCACTCAAGGGATGTACCGCAGATGGCGCAACGCCCATCTGCTATAGCTGCCGAGATATCTGTGAATTACTCACAGAATTTCTAGTTAGCGCAAGTTAGTTCTCACGTGAGGCTCCTCGGACCTCAATATATAAACTGAGGAAATCAGTTTGAGATTCTCTTCTCTCCTCATTCTCTCCTCATCAGGTTTCTTATATATATCTCTCTCTCTTAAAAAAAAAAAAAAGAAAAAGAAAAAAAAGATTTGCTGGAATTGGGACCTTCCTTCAAACTATTGGCCATATATTATGCTAGGCAATGAAACACACCTCTGAATCTCTTAGGTGCGTTCAGGGGCTTTATTGCAGCGCCAAAGTGCTGTGGGATTACTTTCTAGGTGGAGCTAATGAATCCCCTTATGATAGTCACTGATGTGGTTACTGATTTAGTGGCCCACTTCTATCGTTATGTTGAGAGATCCAGAGATTGGCAGCATGTTACGCAAATATTAGAATTCAAGGCCGCTATTACCAACATATCATCAACCTTAAAGAAAAGAATAACAGACTGCTGGACATTCGAGCTCACTACATCCTCCAATTTACATCTTACGGGTCCTAATTTATGAAACCTTCACATGCTACAATTGACACCCGTTCTCTTCCATCCAGCCCGGGAAGGAAGATATAAGATGTTGTGCTCAAGCGCTTCCAGGCCAGAGTCTCACTCGGGTCAACGACTGAGATTATAATGCAACAGCAAACCCACAGCCTGAGCAAGACTTTATCATCTGGCATAGTCAGGATCAATCCCGGCAAAGACGGGACTATCATGGATCAAGTCAAAGATATTCGTCGCCCAAGGAACCAGGACCTTCCCCACCATGCCTAAAAGGTTTGGACAGCCCGGGGAAGCTCTCATTTTAATGCAACTGGGATTGACTCTGCGGCCCTGTTATACAATCTATTGATTGAAATTTCTGCTCTTGAATCTATCCCAATATCACTGCTGGTACTGTGACACAGGATTTTACCATTCAAATCGAGTTCTGTTTACGTCACTCCTAGCTACTTACCATATATATTTCGCAAGAAGGGTAACTATCGAACCCAGTTCCTATGGCGAATATAATAACACAAAAACTCCGCTGAGATTTTAGATGTCTCAATATCCTCAAAATTTATAGGATATTTTTGCTCCATTAAGCAGAGCCTTCCGGCCGAAGTCAAGGCCCAAATCGCCGACTTTGCCCGACCGGCAGTTGCTGATAAATATTTACCTGATCACCAGCGCTCCTCATTGTGTCAGAATATCATCTCCTGCCTATCTTCGATGATCGGAATGAACAATGTCGGAAACAGACAAAAAGGGGCGCACTATGCATAATTTATAATAACACTTTGAAAGCTAAGAGAATCTCAAGTGCGATTCTACCAAGTCAGTTGATTATAAGAGGACGCCCATCCTCTTGAAATAGCAAAAAATGGCCCCTCGAACACAAAAATCGGCTGCTCAGGATGAGCACTCTTTCTCCCTGGTGTCTGAGAAGAAGAAGCCAGGGCGAAAGCCCTCAGCCCTGAAAGAAGAGCCCACTATGGGCAATACAGTCTGCAGTTGCTGTCTGATGTTCATGTATACAGCACACATTGACAAGCCTTGCTGCTGCAAGCAAGAAATTGCAAAGATCTGCACTAATTATACAGAAGATAAAAAAGCTTGTACTTCTGTTCTATCAGAGCTGTAGAAGAAAGTAACAGCATTACTATCTAACTATAAAGATTTTCTCAGACTCAAAAATGTGACTCTCTAAGAAGAATTGAAGGCCAGCATGATGAAATAGACTGCTGATCTCAATAAATTATTTATCAAAATAATATCTATGTTAGTCCAAACTAACAAATCTCTCTCTCTTTTCTACTTTAATGCTGAAGTCAGTACTGCCACTTTAGCAGTATTAGAAAAGCTTGTGCCTATTCAGGCTGAACAAAAGAAGCTTGTGGAGTATATATTCTACTCTGTCAAGATAGATTGAACTGATTGGAGATCATACATTCAACTTATGCTAATATAATTATCTGCTTCTTTTCTTCTCTCTCTTACTCTAATTATATCTTCTCTCTTTATTCAGTCCCAGCTGAACATATCTGTATCAGATCTGTCTTCAACTGAAGACAGTGAAGCTGATTTGTTTAAAAATATGATTAAGCAGTCTAAATAAGCTTGCTCTGATGATTCTTCTGCACTGGTTTTATACTCTGTTCTTAAATCAGAGACTTCAACTGATGAGAAGACTTCTGAAGAGACAATAAGTCACATGCTCATAAGCACACATAAAAGACCACCACTGTGTGAATCTCTTGCTGGGAGTCAGTAGCAATCTTGTTTACAAGTTGTATATAGTTGTCAGAATACAGATCTTTTATCTTGTGTACTCTTTTCTACATACATTTCTCTCTATAGATTCATTGTCATGCTGATCCATATATATGATCCTCACTTTATTATTATTATTATTATTCATTATAGTCTTATGCAGTCAGTGACTATGAAGACTACCTAGCAGCTTTTCTGTTAGGATTTACTTAGTATACATTGTAGAAGATGAAAAATAGGAAAAATCAAAGTATTTCAAGGCAATATGAGATGTTCTTTCTCCACAAAAGTCAAATAACAGATAGTGTATAATATCAATTTCAAAGAAAAACAAATATTCTTGTGGCAATGTGATAGTCTGGGGGTGGGAATTGTTGTCTGGGAATTCTTAACTACTTGTGCATATGTCCATGTTGATGTCTTGCTATTCAGGGCTGATAGAAGATTCTTGATCTGGATTATATTCTCTCTCATCTTCTCCTGCGTCTTTCTCATTATATTGATCTTGGCTGCTAGCTCTCTTGTAGATGATATATTCTTGATCTTCTCTATGTACAGCTCTACACTGTCTAGCAGGGCTTTTATTGTGCTTTATAATAAGTTTCTGTTCTTGTCTAGCACATTTAATCAGAATTTCTTAGCTTTGATATCTGCTCATATTTGGGTTGCATGATTAGGGATGTTTTGGGCTGGAGGCCCACCTGAGGGGTGGTTTGGCTGCTTGCCATGCTTTTCTTGATATTGCGCAATACCTAGAGCTCTGGCAAGCAGATTGAGCCACTGAGTGAGCCGAATAGATAGGTGGTTGTGGAGATATTTCAAAAATTAAGTCTCGACAGTATGAGGTTGTTTCCTGCATTCCAGGTAAGGTTGTTAAGTAGCTGACAGCCAAAGGCCAAGCATTTATTTTCATACAATCTCAAAAACGCCGACGCTTCTACCTCTCAATCCCTTTGCAATACCATCCGCCATGAAGCCTGAAGATGCTGTACGTCCAAGTCCTGAAAAGAGCCGAACCGTGTATGAACAAGGCTTTTGTATTTGGACAAGGCTTTACACTCGCGCTAAACAGCAATCCAGCCTGCCCCAAATTTGCTTCCACCTGCAGGCCGCAGTTCAAAAGTTACCTCCCTTGCTCCATGATCTGGATCTGAAGCATGAGTATAGCTGTCTCTACGCGACTGGAATGTTGATTTGGGGAACTTCGCGGGGCCAATGTAAGATACCTCTTGTGGAAAAAAGACTTGAGCTACCAGTTTCTATCAACCACTTGACACAACTTGCTCTCTCTGAAAGCCTGGAGCTGACCTATCAGAAATGGTTTAATCATGAAGATAATCACCTTTCTGTGCTAATATTGGCATGGAGCTACATATTTTCAGTGTGTTGGGTCCAGCTCATGCCTGGAGCCAAGCTGACTTATACTGAGAAGCATGTGGAATATGGCAACAACAAGGGAGACAAATGAACTGAAGTCATGGTGGATGTAGAAGATGTTGATAATGATGCAGTCAGATGGTGGGCCGCTGTTTTGTCTCCTGGTGAGGGATGGCAGGCATACCTAACATGGGAGCAAACAAAATTCTGATCACCTTGGTCAACTGCTTTGGAAACAAGGGTGAAATTTACACTTTCCTGCCACAAACCCCTCTGCCATATGTCAACTACCGCACCTTCATTTACCACTGCCCTTCATTTTCTCGCAGAATACTGCAATCTACACAATATTGTTGACCAAATCCTGGCAGCACTCTCTTCAATGTTGTTTCTTCCTTCATTGAATACAAAGAAGAACCCAACATCACTCCTGAAACCTGATTCTCATAAGAGGCAAAGGCTAAAGCCACCCATATCAGAGCCAACTGAGCAGAAGCCACTTGGTTTTATATTGGAGCAGATAGTGCTGGAGCTGGACAAACTATTGACATTGAGTTGCAACACACAGGGTCTATGCTCTCTTTTGTTGAGTGTATTTTATGAATCTGGAATACCTTGCAATGCTGTGAGCCCATGGCTGCAATCTACATTTGCTGTTCTTGACTCTGTGGAGGATGACCATCTACTTGCTTATATCCTGATGAACCAAGTCCTGCAAGTTTCTTTCCTTTGGCTTGGTGGTATAATTGCGGGTATTCACAAGAATGTCCTCCAGGATGGTCAATTTGGCCTTATACCAATTGAACTCCATGCTGCATCCTGGTGTGGTGTCACACAGTCATTTTTACAGGAACCTGTGGCCCAACCAC